TTGTCTTTTTCCTTTTGATTTTACCTTTTTTTTCTGTCGAAGTTGGATTAAAGTAAACGTATTGGCAGATGTAACCTCTGGTTGAAAGCGCAACCAAATTAAGCATTTGCCAAACATATTTATGGCTCCAGTGTTGGAAGTTGAACATCGGGGCCGTTGAACTACATTTATTAAGAAAACGTCGGTCCGAAGAGATGAATATATTTTTGTATATTGAGGAAATAAATTATAACCGAATAGATTTTTAAGCATCGTCTGGACTCATCCTGATATATATATATATATATATATATATATATATATATATATATATATATATAGTCCTGGAAAGTAGTCCCACATAACTTCATATACAAGACTTCCTCGATTATCCGGACACCTTGGAATAAAGTTTCAAAAATATTTCGGATAATTCAAGTTCCAGATAACTGAACACCATATTTTCTGAAAGAAATTTGACATTTATATTATCAAATAAAATTTTAAAACGGTTTTGTTCAGTTTATTTTTTTATGAAAAATTGCGTCAATTTTTGTCTCTTTACGACTGACCTCGCCTTTTTCAGTCTCTAATTCCCGAAGCTGGATTAAAGGAGATGTTTTTGTAAGGGTAACTTCTAGCTGAAAGTGTATCCAACTTAAGCATTTGTCAAACATAATCATTGTTTCCATGTTTGATATTCGGCATCAGATCTGTTGAACTTTAACATGGACAATAACGCTATCATCTTTGTCCTAAACATTTCCTGTTACAGTTATAAGTTCAACAATCGCCTGGTCATTCAGGTCTTCATACCCCCCACGGCCGTTTGCGTTGAACCAGGTATTTATTTCTGCATTATATACATCGATGTTCAATGCTGCAAATTACTCAATAAAATCTCTTGTGTAAACGCTTGTCTGAGATGAAATATTAAAATGGGCTTAGTTCGGATAATTGAAAGCTGTTAGGATGATTTCAGTTTTTCTCTTCATTTCACGTGCGGATAATCGAAGTCCGGAAAATCGAAGAAAGAACTGTAGCGAATATTAGGCTGAAAACTAAGACTCCTTGTAGCGGCACAGTTTTCACCAAATAGGCACCTTCATAGCTAATAATGCTTGTACAAAATTCCTTTAATAGGGAATACAACCCTCACAAATTCTTTTTTATGTGTCAAGACGTGGGCTAACATGCCTCTCCACAACTTCCTATCTTTTGTTTGCTATAAATTAATTTTGATTTTTCACCGTCCCTCTTTGCCCTTGTTCTGCTATTCACTCCTTCAAAAATTCCGTAAGTGGGTGATTATGACTCTCCACAACTTCCTGTTTTTTGTTTGTTCTAAATAACTATTGAGTCTTACCTTGTCTTTGTTCGGCTGTTCATTTACGTAAAGAGATTAAGTAGCTTATTTGCTGTTTTCTCCTGCTTTTCCTACCTTCAGTATGCCCTGTGAGTGTTAAATTTTCCAGTTCATCTTTCCTATGTGTTTCAGAAATTTCAATTGTCTCAACGAAGATTGAAAACAAGATTGAAGGTATTAAAAAATTATTACTTTCGTTATGACTTACTCTTTTACAAATGAGTGGAATTGTAGTAATCAAATATTTCCGAGTTATGTCTTCTTAAAGTACCGGACTTTCTTGTATGTGAAAATGTTACATTTAGGCAATTCTCAATCCCACTTCCAGTAATTTTCCGACTGAATCCACTGCGTGCAACGCGGAATTCCAGTAAAATCGGCACAAGACAATAGGTAGGGAGAAAGGTTTCCATTCAAACTTTCGGTATTAATCTAGATTAGAAAATCAGCCCACAGACGCGAGTGGGAAACATGAAGGCAGGTCTTGTTATTGAGTAAACCTTACTTAATATAACACGAGCAGTAATGGGAGCGAGAAAAGGATTAAAAAGCTTGTGTTGTGTCTATCAACTTCCTTAGACGAGACAAGACGAGGCCTTCTCTCTCTTTGGGGAGTGTAAGGCCACGGACTCACAGCGCTAGGCCTTGCTGTTGTGGGTTCCGGAGGAAGTAGGGTTTTTTTTTACGGAGTCAAGCTGCCAGTCCAACACGCAATCGGTTATTAATTCTAAATAATCCTTTTTCTAGACTGGTTGCCAACCAAGGGTAGAGAGTTAAGTCTACCCTGATATTTAGCCAATAGCGAGAGGGAGAAGAAATGGATTCATACTTTTTTTTACAAAAATATCTGTGCGAAAGTGAATGCAACGACCTCGACCGCAAGAAAATCTTAGAAAAGTCACTGTTCAAATTTCTTGTTTTTTTTTGTTTTTTTTTTTGTTTTAGCTAGACCTGATCATCGACCTGACCATTGACCACGGGTATTGATAGAAAATACACAACTAGTTCAGCCAGGAGGCATGCCATATAAATCTATGCGTTTTTGTTTTTTTGCTGTTGTTGTTGTTGTTGTTATTATAAGCAGTCGTTGAAGTACTAATCGAATTGTTCAAAAGGAGGCTGAATTTAGTAGGTTTTGTTTTCGTTCATACTATTCTGCTGGGAGTCACCCGATATCTGTGAAAACGAGAATTGAAAAAGCGAACTACGTCATCAAAATTGGTGAGATAAAAGAACTATTGTGAACCGACGGCGGTGAAGGGGGTGGGGTGTTACGGAGAAAATAGCGTCGAAAAAGTCAACCTGATATCACAAGAGAGAAAGAGAGAGAAAGAGAGAGAGAGAGATAGAGAGAAAGGGATGGAAAGGGAAAGAGAGTGAGAGAAAGAGAAAAGAATCCTTTTGTGTGTATTGATTATGTTACACTAATTATTCTTTGATACGCGCAGAATATTTTTATTTATCTATTTATTTGAAGTTCTTTTTTTTCTGTTCTACCTTATTCTGTTTTGTTTGGCTGCCTCAACATCCAATTCTCGCAAGAACTTGGTCTTTTCTCGTTACGTTATTAGAAAAAAAAAAGGACCCGATATACGCCATTTGCAAAAGCTAACGCAAATTCAAGAGAATGAATATTAAATAGATAATACTCTCCCGAGTTTTCCCCAGTCACGATAAATGATTGCGCTCTCAAAGAATCTCCACATATTGAACGTCTACTGGGTCTCAAGTTCACTCTAGACCTCGAATGAAACTCATGTATAGAATCTATTGTTAAAGCTTAGAAAATGGTTTGCTCACTCTAAGAAGTACCTGATTCCTTTGCCATTCTTTATTTTTACAAGAATCCGATTAGACCAAAAATAGAGTATTGCTTCCATATTTCAACCATGACAAAGTCCAGCACGGGCGGTCACTCGTTTCCAAGTACACCCGTCTTCTAGGGTGGTTAACCGATTCCTGTTACAGACGCCTGTTCAGGAAAATTTGCGTGTATTCAACACCCTTGAAGCTCACTTGTGGTTCATACAGTAGCTGAGCTGAACGAACCTTAGTTACAGTTTTTGTGAGAGAGTGCATCATCAGTTCAACATTTTGAACAAGCCCAGTACGCTCAAACCCACGGTCACGATGACTTGTGACTTCGTGCTAGCACAACCATCTCCAGTTTCATTCACAAGGCTTAGATCAATCCGTGGTATAGTTTTCATACACTTTTCAAATGTATCGCGCACCGGGATCGCCTCTCCATCAAGAAGTCACCTCCTGACAAATCGATTTGAACCTGGGTTTCTTAGTTGGCTTTATTTATTTATTTTTTGTTCAACTAATTCGACCTACCGTTTCAGTCATTATCAAGAACTGGACGTTGTCAGTGTGGTAGCCAAGATTATGTTGGCTACATTGTAGCATTTTGTTCGAGCGCTGAAATTCGAATTAGTCCAATGTGACATCGTGTGTAACTGTTAAATGGAGCGATATCTCACTGGAAAAGCATCAATCAATTATTTAAACATATTACTATTATTTTGTACGCATATTAAATAATTTATGCACACTTGAAGTTACCGTCTTCTATGGCGAAACATATTTATTTAAGGTAGGTTGTTTCTTTAAAATAAAATATAAAATACAGATGAAGACTGTCCAATTACGTTAATTTCGCATTGTGGTCTTCGGGAAAGATATGACTATGCATTTACCTACTTCCTATCCCGTCATCAGATATCCTGATAAAAAAAAAAACTTGTTACTGGCATGCCACGATATTTAATGGATAGGAAAGGTATTGGGTGAGCGCTTGAGCAAACACCTTCCTTGACTGTCTTACATGTACAGGGTGTGACCACAAACAGCTGTTACCTTCATAATCAACCTTGACAGGGATCTAATCATACTGTGAAGAAATATGGTCGTCGGTTACTATGGTAAGTTGGCTGAGTGGCTACGTGTTAACGCGAGACGAGGCGGAATTGATGCCTGAAGACATAAAAAAAGAAGAGGAGAAGATCGGAAATCGCAAAGTGAAAGTGTAGGGGAGAGGAATGTGAGGAAAGAGAAAGGTAGCAATTTCTTGGATCCGGCAATTAGATTAAAAGCTATCGACCTTTCCCTTTTCAAAGCTGGAGGCGGGTAAGTTTAAAAGAGAAGAATAAGTGTGAATGTCACAGTTTACGAAGAGAGTCTTTTGAATTATGCGTTATCTGAGTAGCGATGTTGGAGAGACGCCAACGCCATCGACGCATCCGCGTCCATTGCTGTATGGCGTAGCATTTAAAAAAAAGAAAGGCTTTTTAGCATTACGGAAATCTATGATATTTATGGATCTTGTGTACTAGTGACCTTTCCAGGATCTTTCAATTTCATTGGAAGCAATAAACGCTGTGATCCTGGATAGATAAATATCAATATAGATATATAGATAGATAGATATGAACAGTCAGAAATAGATATGAAAGATTAATATAAGTAAAAAAGAATAGGTTGAGATAGTTATGGAAAGTGGTAAATAAATAGGTAGATATCTATCTATCTATATATCTATCTATCTAGCTAGCTAGCTAGATAGATAGATAAATAGATTGGTAATGAACAAACTGAAATATATATATATATTTGAAAAGAATAAAAAATGAAATAACATGAACTGACATAGCTAGCTAGATAGGAAAGTATGAAGGGCCTGGAATAGATAGATAGATAGATAGATAGATAGATAGATAGATAGATAGATAGATAGATAGATAGATAGATAGATATTGATCAATCTGAAATAGATATATTTGAAAAGTTTGATAACTGGAGAAAATCAAATAGACATAAAGTAAGTAACTAAAAGAGACATGAACAGACTGACATAGGTAGCTAGATAAACATGAATAAACAGTTTGAGATAGATAGATAGATAGATAGATAGATAGATAGATAGATAGATAGATAGATAGATAGATATTACGACTTTCGTAGTCCGGCACATGACCAAACAGAAGATAATAAAATTGTTATGCTCGCGTCTTCGAAGGCCATTCTTGGGTTGTAAACAAATATGAGAAGACATAATCTTTCGTTTGGTTTCGAGCATTGACTACTGAGTCTGGACGGAAGTATACCATTATGCCATCTACCAATCAGACACACACACACACTCACATGCAATATCAATCGATATCTCCTGTCTTCTTAATTCCTGTTCTTTTATTTTTCTCGCTCCTTAATAATCTTTTTCTTATATTCTTTCAAATTCAGTAACACACTGCTTCTTAGTTGCCCTTATTGCTTTTCTTGGGGGTGAAATGATTTATATATATATATATATATATATATATATATATATATATATATATATATATGACTTGTAGTGAGATAACATAATATGTTATAATGAATTTGTTAGACAAGAATGTCTTTAATTATTACATTAGTTTCCTAGAAGAGACATAATCAGTTTGTTCAAAGCTCTACGACAATTCATACGCTGACTTGTGATTCAAATTTTATAAAATCTGACATTCTGGACGAAACATCTAAACAAAAACTAAATTGTCAGTGAATTCTGGCGAACCTTCTCTGAAGACAATCATATATGAGGCTTTTATTATTAAGAATAAATGATGAATGGAGATAACTGCTCAAATTACACTGATCTGGTCAGATGAACGTGTGTCGTTGCTCAAAACAATAATACAAATCCCCACCCAGCTAAATAAACGCAAAGGGCTGAAGGGAGAGGATATTTGACTTTATTGTTGGTTTAGCCCTTTAAGGTTTCCATTGAAGCAAACCATTCAAGCAATTAGTCAACAGCAAGACTTTTTCAAGTAGAAAACAGAGCAATTCAATATTATCAGAGTTCTTTGCGTCCAGAAGCCGATTTTTTTTATCAACAAGGAATAACAGAATTAATTTCATAGTCGGCTTTCGTCGTTGATAATAATTATGATCAATGTCTTTCTTTCTTTTTTATTTAAAAAAAAATGACAAAACATTTCTAAGGTGCTTTTTATTTCCCTCTCGAAAAATGCGACAGTTCTTTCCGAACAGGCTATTTGATCAAGCAATTGAGGCAAAATGGCGTGTTTGTACATTTCAGTACCTCAGACACGCTGACGGCCCAGTCATTGTATGGATCCCATTAAAAAATGAATTTAGTCAATAGAGAAATTATTTTCTTTTAAATTTATTGGCAATTATATTTTTTTCTTACGTTTCAATAATAGTAGAGGAATGTTCGCTATAAAAATTTCCAGTTGTTTGCTGAGCAAAAGAAATTCCTCACTTTCTTTCAAAGTATACTTTAGGTTCCATTTATAGAAGGTTACTATAAAAAAAATATTCTAAGAATAAGAATAAACGAAGAATGATTCTTTAGACAAGGGCGTCTGACAGTACTTTTAATTGAATAATTCAATAAGTAAGTCCTTTTCGCTTTGTTACAATGTTTTGCTGTTTACTATTCATTTTCTTGCCTTAAGTTTTTACAGAAAAAAGTTGAGTCTAACATAGCGGCCAGGTAAAGGCACCACTTCACTTATTAACAAAGGGTAGAATTATATCCTTTAAGAATGTTTCGTATCCATTGGATCGCCTGCAACGTGAGAATTCAAAGATTTTTTAATGTTAACAGACATTTTAAGGTTGGTTCTAATGTGTTTATTCTTACGGTGGTCTCGTAAATTAATTCCCCTAAGAAACGCGGAGATCTTGGATATTTCATTTCTGATTGGTAGAATCTTAATAATTTTAGCATAATCTAGTACACTGAACAGTGAAAATACCCAGTGAGGCTCAAATTCCATTCACCAGCAATAGTCTAGAAGATTGCATTCCACGGTTAACTAAGCTTAGTTTTGTCTAATGAAAATCTTGAAACTTGGGAAGGTTTGCCTGCTTAGAAAATCATTATTCGTAACTGGTTTGATGAGCAAGCTGTGGTACGGATGGGAAAGACACCACTATTTCAAGCAGGTAGCAAGCAATTAAAAAAGAGTTTGTCTACGAAACTCTGGAGCCAAGGTGCTGAATATAACATCAAGTGAGCTAAGCGAGAAGTTTTTATATGTATTGAGATTTATTGTATAAAAATATACAATTTTGGCATAAGGCCGAAAAGGGAGAAATGGGCTGAGGCTGGTTTTCACTATCTTATTCCTAGCTAATCAGATTCACGACCCATTCACTCATTACAATTCGCACATTCACCAGAAGAACTCATCCGTTACCAATCAGTCCCCCATATGCCATAATGCTGCATAATATGAGGGAACCTAAAAAACGCACCCCATGACATAAAAATTTGATGATTATAAAAATCAAATGATTTACAATGATAGGGGAGGGGATGAACCCGAAAACAAAGTAGTTTTTATATGTGTTATCATCATGCCGTGTATTCGCTTATATATATAAAGTAATTCATCGAGTCTAGAAGAAACCTCAACAGAATGTAGAAAGCACCGGACGGCCGATTCTTTCTTTATTTAGGACTCATGCAGCAGTGCGCATCCACTACCGAGAACTGAAACCGGACAGTTACGTTATCAGGCAAACGTCATACCAACTGTCCCGATGGGCCTCGGTGACGAAGGAGTAGCGAATCAGACTCTATATAGCGCCGCTCGATCACATATTCCCTGGTGGAACTCATCCGAGACTCTGCTATACTTGTATATCCTTGCTTGAAACGGCTTCTAATACTCTGGATAGAGCTGCTTGGGGATAGTACTCGTACCTCGCGATGGACACAGTCTGTTGGAACAGTTGGTATGACGTTTACCTGATAACGTAACTGTCCGGGTTTCAATTCTCTGGTAGTGGTAGGCGCACTGCTTATGAGTCCCAAATATAGGACGGAAGTTGTTGATCCGGTTATTTCTGCAAGTTAGACTGTTTTTTTAAGGCAAACAGTCTTTTTAAGCACAATGCTCAATATAATAAAATAGAGCATTAATACCAAGAAATGCAATTGAATATTAACTTATGTGCCGGCGCTTTGAGTGTTGTCGAAATTTTCGCGACGACTCACGCATAAATGCACACACGAAAACTAGGTGTGTAGGGGTAACAATAGTTCTAAATTTTTCAATTCTTCTTCTTTATTCTTCAGAAATATGATAAAATTCTAAAGTGAAACACCCTAATGAGTGAATGTAATTTGCGTGAAACTAATAAGTGAACATTTAATTTTATTTGTTACTATATATATATATATACTCATAGAAAAAACAACTATCAATAAATAAAAACAATCATAACTTAAGATTCCGTATCCTAAGATGTATATAAAAAACACGTCACACATCGCTTCCGTCACGACACCCTTTGCCTGCGTCATAACACTCACTAGTCCTACGAAACACACTACTTGTCTCCACCTACTCTGATGATGACTTAAGAAAGTCGAAAGCTTGCTCAACAATTCTTGTACATTTCTTCCGAAATGACCTTCGGATAATTTCTCTACGGAATTTCGCTCCTTGTCTGAGAACGATTGTTCATAATTTGGAAAAGTCGATCAGTAAAATTATTTTTTATGGCTGTGAGTAACATCCATCACTGGCATGATGAGCATACCCTCCTATCGTCTGTGTTCCATACACTCCTCACGGCAAATATCCAAAAGATTTGCCTTCCTCGTAATAAAGTCAACTAATATTAGCCTTAATTCTGGAACATCCGTGATAACTATGAAGATAATATAATGTAAGATCTTAAGAACCAAACTGAAAATAGCTTTAACATTTTCCTTCCTTCTTCGATCTTAGCAGATCGATCGGGTACAAAGATCAATAATATTCAAGATGTACAATCGGTTAGCCAAAAAAAAGTAAAAGAAGTTTATTTAAAAATTTTCATCGTTCCTGACTTTTGTTTGAATTTCTTTATGCATGGATTATCTCAATTTTTTAAGTCTTGTGATTAGAGAGAGAAAAGTTGAATAAATAAACTCAGTTATATTTTTTATTTTTTATTTTTCTCTTCTTTTCTGTCGGGAGAGGGGCGGCGGAAGCAGACGTTTATTTGAAGAAGTGTCGAATTTTTATGATTAGAAGCAAAAAATGTCTAAACGCTGCAGACGCCAAGGCAAAGGCATTGTAGAAGCTGACTTGTAATGCAAAAGTGCTACTCCAGATGTGGAATTTCCAGGAACTTCCTCTTTTACTTGCTGTCTAACTTTAGAAAATGAGCTATCATTGCTCTCCACAACTTCCTATGCATAATATTTGCCCCCTAATTATCTGTCTTGGTGCTTCTACCATCGTTAGGGACATTACTCATGGTTTGCCCTGTTCCTTCAGAACGTGGGCAGTCATGACTCTCCACATTTTCCTATTCTTAGTAGCACTAAGCAATGTTTGTCCTCTTACTCTCGCCGCTAGTCCTTTTTCTGCCATTCATTTACAAAAACTCGTTAGGTTCATTACCTACTGTTTAGCTTGTCCTTTCAGAACCTAAACGGTCATGGCTCTCTACAACTTTCTATCCTTATTAGCTCTAGGCAATGCTCATCCTTTTATTATCCTTCCCAATTCCTCTTCTGTCAGCCATTTGCACACGCTCTTTAGGAACTTTATTTGCTGTTTTCCTCTTAGCATTATTAGGCCCTATGAGTATCAAATACTCCAACCCTCTTTTCCTTATTATGTGTCCCAGATACTCAAACTGTCTTTTTCTGGTTCCAAATACAAGTGAACTTTTAGATCCCATTTTCCTTGAAAGTTCCTCGTTGCTCACCTGTTTCACCCATGGTATTCTCAGAATTTTTCTGTAGAACCATATCTCTGTTGCGTCGAGTCTGTGAGGAAATTGTCCAGCATTCAGTCATATAGTAGGATTGATATTATATAACAGTTCAGTACTGATACAGTATTAATATTACAAAGCAATTCAGAACTTTTTAATGCATCTATTGAAAGACCTTCTCGTTGATTAACTGCTTGATTGTAGGTGTTTCCCCTTTTAGGAACCATCACCAAAAAATGTCACTAAATCATAGTCGTTTCTAATAGATTCCAATGATACCATTGCTAGCTTAACCCCTGGAACTAGACACGCAATCTTGTTTTCTTTCTCGGTCGAAGACAGGACAAAGCAGTTTGCGCCCCCAAAGCAGTTTGCGCCCCCAAAGCAGTTTGCGCCCCCAAAGCAGTTCGTTCCAACTAGCAAGAATCTGTGAGACTTACTTGCTATGGAAATTGCTTGGAGATTTTGCTCAAACGGCCTTTCTCATGTTTTCTGTTCTACCAATAAATTAGTATCTTATTAAATATATACGTATTTTTATCTGATTAATAGCAAAAACGCTGATATAGTTTTGAAGAAGAAAACTTGAACAGAAAAATATTATGTACACACCTGATTTTAGAGTGTGTGAGTGTGTGGTCTACCAGCAAGAGATGATAACTTCCAAGTGAATTTAGAATATCTACTTATCAACGAAGCCTATTGAGAATAGAGTCAGTGACCAAGGTAATATCTAAATCGGCACCGGTAGCCGGAGTTCAAGTCCATGTAAGGAAAAGAATATCAAATGCTGATTTTTCAGGCTAGTCTTCCTCCTTTACAAACTTGATAAAACAAAATTCAGTAATTTACAATCGCCTGATGAGATGCATTGATACGCATCAAAGTACGACTGCAATTGTGTAGCGATTTTTAAATGTTTTCGGTGTAATATATATATATATATATATATATATATATATATTCATTCACTGAGACACCAGTGATACACAAACTACTTACGCTTCGTGAAACTGACTTACATAGCTCTGGACACACACTAACTGGACATACATATACACACACGCGAAATACAAACCTATACTAAAACTAGGTGTGTACACAAAATTATTTTTTCCTGTTCAAGTTTTCCCCAGTAAAAAATATATCCAGTGTCTAAATTCCTGTATTTTAGAAAGCGAGAGCATTTTCCTTACCTGGGAAGAAAGTATTAACTAGTTGTTAAGTACATTCAGACTTCTATGATTGTTGAATGATTCCTGTATAGAAAGGGCTAATTACGATATCACCATTACCATTATATATATATATATATATATATATATATATATACGAAGTGTTTAGTGTTTGCTTTCCGACCATGTGACATAGGTTCGGATTGTGCTAGCACAAAGACACAAGTAATCGTAAACAATGGTTTGAGTGTAATGGCGTTGTTCAAACTGCTGATCTTGCCAGATTATGCTCTCTCTCTCTCTCTCTCTCTATATATATATATATATATATATATATATATATATATATATATATATATATCTTTCTCTCTCAGAAAGTGCAATTAAGGTCCGCCCTGCATAGTTGAAGTATAAACCCCACGTGGGTTCTGTGGATGTTGAACAAACACAAACTTTATGTAACTGTTAAATAAAACCTGATTTCAAAAAATATATAAAATGTTATGATTCATCCATTTATTTTTTTTATCATTCATTTATTTATCTACCCAATCCCAATGATATAAACTGCAATTATACTTACATCAAACCAAACATGGTTTTAATCATTACGATTATATAAATATTATTGAAATCCTTGACAACAATTTAGAGAAGTCAAATATATATAAAATCTAATTATCTACAAATAATTGAAACTTCACTAGATTAACAATTTAATTTGAAAACCATTTTTGCTCACGCACATCTAAAGGAAACGGAAATACTTGGCTCCACATATAATTCAAATCAAACTTTGGATTAATATCTAACTTACGGTTAATGAAAGCAGTGGAGACCCGTACCCTGACTTCTTCATAAACAATTCAGCATGTGAAATTAGTACATACTAAATACTTACCTCGGTGTCTGAATCGGAGATAAGTAAATTGAACATAGGATAGGCTGTGTTAGATGTAGTTTCTCTTAACACAGCAAGCTCATACAAAACCAAAACATTAATCAGGTCATGTTCTTAAAAAGTCTTATCTGACCGAACATTTCAAATGGATGCCGTACATGGCGTCAAACTCGTTCAGAAATATCCGAACAGTCGGTAATACGCAACCGCTTTCTCAGAACGATGTTGTAAAATAGCTTCGAGATAGTAAAGTGTGTAGGTCTTAGTGAACAGCATTCTTTACCGAACCTCGTGGACTGGCGTTACAGAATCCCAAGCAAAGAACTGGACCAAATAACAAACACCATATCACTTAAGGACTTTCGACAGCAGCAGCAGCAGCTAAAATGGATAGCACATGTAACTCGAAGAGAGAATCATGACAATCAAGGTGTTGATGTTACACATTACTTCAAATAAAAGGCAAAGAGGGAAACCCCCATCAATACTAGAAAGAGCATTAACAGCTACTGGACTTGAGAAACCTATTTTCTTGAAAAATTGTTTTCAGAGAAAGATTTTATAAATTTCATTCGACAACAATATTGACTGTTCAGTCAAATGGATGCCGAAGGTTTCCTTATACGGAAACGACTATATTACATTACCATATATAATCAAACGATTTCGGATAAATTATATCACAGAGTAATATCTTTTAAGGAACATTAATTAACGTCTTTTGATAAAAATATGATTTCTGAAAATAAATTCAGTTTTACAGTCAAGTCTCCTGGAGAGTGGATGTAATCTCCACGAAAGCCATTGTAGAGACAAGATAAGGGAACATTTAATTTTATTTATTTATGTATATGTGTATATGTGCGCGTGTGCGTGCGTATATTGAGAGAGAGAGAGAGAGACAGGGAAAGAGACAGAGAGAGAGAGACACACACACACACACACAGACAGACAGGGAGAGAGACACACACACAGAGACAGAGAGAGAGAGAGAGACACACACACACAGAGACAGAGAGACAGAGAGAGAGAGACAGAGAGAGATACATATAGAGATACACAGAGAGAGAGAGAGAGGGAGAGACAGAGACAGAGAGAGACACACACACAGACACAGAGAGAGAGACAGGGAGAGAGACACAGAGAGACACAGAGAGAGAGTCACACACACACAGAGAGAGATGACGAACAAGAAAGAAAACCTCCGTGTCACGATCTAACCGATTGCATCTAATCGTGTTGGCTGGAATGACACGGGCATTGGAAAAGAAGAAAAAGAAAGATGGACTTCTTTAGATTGACATTTATATATTCATTGCATTCAATTTTTGTATAAAATTATATTAGCCTTGATTTATCGATCTTCGTTCATATCACCTGACCGAATATGTTACATTAGTATAATCTAGCTCAAGGACACAATAGTGCAGCACCCAGTTAGGATCGAACTGCGAGACCAGATTGTTAACCATCACCTAACGACTAGATAGATACACGTTAAGCTGAGCTTAGTCTTGCTCAAGGCCACAGTAGATCTGTGGACTCGCTGTTTTCAATTAATGGCAATAAAGTGGCAGTGGGAAAATCCACGCGAATGCTGTTCGCATATGACGGAGTAAGTTACGTGTGTAGCGAGGGCGGTACGTGTAACAGAAAATTGTTTCAGATTGATAAATAGTTTTCAGATGTAAGTTCGTTTATTGAGTTGAAATTTGAAGACAATTTGCACGCTAAAGAAAAATAAACGATTTAATGGAAATGTATTTACTCTTGTATGCGCAAGTATACACACATATGCACGCATAAAGAAGAGTGGGAGCTCTAATTTGTTTTATTTTGTTATAAAGCCACGAACGCCCACTATGTGAGAATGAATGGCAGAGCATGTAGAAATACAGATGGTAAAGGCCAAAAAATTACTTAAAGTAACCGAAGACAGGACGTTGTGGAGAGCCATGGTATGCCATTTAATGGGTTTGCGCGAATGGATGACAGAGCATGTACACAGAATGATGTCAAGGGTCAAAAGTTACTTAAAGTAATCAAAAGACAAGACGTTGTGGAGAGTCATCATCTGTCATTTAACGAGCTTGCGTAGATGGATGGCAGAACTGATACGGAGTTAGAGTCAAAAGTTACTCAAAAAAAAGATAAAAAGGAAGTTGCGGAGAACCATGATCGCCCACGTCCTGGAAGGACATGACACGAAGAAGAAGAAGAAGAAGAAAAGTTCTATTTGTGACCGTCATTAAAAGCAAATCGAACTGAACCTTTAGTTCTATACTTTAATTATCTTGATTCACCTGAATGTTGGCATCGGATTTAAAACAGAGAGATGAAAGTAAAGATCAATAAGAGAGAGAGAGAGAGAGAGAGAGAGAGAGAGAGAGAGAGATAGATAGATAGATAGATAGAGAGAGAGAGAGAGAGATAGAGAGAGAGAGAGAGAGAAATGACGGGGCGTTCGTCTTTATGTACTTAGGCCAGGTTTTGGCCTTGAAATTTTTTATTTGTGCGTTGTCTGTTAATCTTAGCCAAACAGTGTCAAATATTACAGATAAACACTCCATTGACCTTTTGTTCGTTTACCTTCACTCAATTCGCAGAAAAATCTATTGAAAATAACCTCACCCTACCACAGTAATCAGAGAGTAAATCAAGATTCTTTGATTATTTGAGCACGATATAAAAATAAGTCATCTGACTTCAGCAACGCTTTTCATCTATCCTTGGCTGATCACGATTTACATCCGGGCGTGAAAAGCAAGAATCAACCTCGTAAGTTGAAAAATTGCAGATTAAGAATTCAATGCTTTTATTTAGATCAAAAGCAACAAGAAGCCTCAGAAACAAGTTAGTTCACTGTGTTTTGCAAGATAATTTTTTACACCGGAATCTCTCTTGCAACTTTACAAGCCTACCGTTCATCAGTGTGTCGTGTATTGTTGCCACATCTGGTCTGGTGCATTTGCTATTTGTCTAGATATTCTTGACAGAATCTAAAGAAGAATCTGCAATGTTATCAGTCCTGAAATGGTACCTCGGCTTCAATGAATTTCTTACCGCCGTAACCCTCCGTGTTCAATTTCTGTAAATAATTTAATAGCAATTGTTCTGATGAGCTTACTTCTTTGGTCCATCGACTTAATAAATTTAAGTGTAATCCTAGATTGGTAACTAGGTTTCACCATATTATAGTTGAAATGATTAGATGTAACCGTAAGTTTTATTCTAAGAGTTTCTTCTCTCTCGCACTTGTCGCTGATGGAAAACGCTTTCGGCTGTTTGCTTTCCTGTCAACTACGAGCTTCAAAAAATTTTAATGAAATGTCAATCGTTATCTTCTGTCTCCTTGAATCCTGTTCTTTTTATTGTTCTCTCTTCTCAATAGAGTTTTTTGAGGAGCAAAATTGATTGGAAAGCAAGAAGCCGGAAGAGATTTCCACAAGCGAGGAATGCGAGAAAAGAAACAGTCAGCATAGAACTTACGGTTATATCTTGCTATTTCAAAAGTAAAATGTCTCTAGCTTGTTAAAAATAAAGATTTTTAAAATAAAAAAATAAGTCATAAATTACTCTTCTGTTAACTTGCGCGACTAGGTACCTTTCAAGGCATATTAGTTGAGACATTGTTGAAACTTGACTAATGCATGGAATAATAATGCAACACAAAATGTACTTAGGAGAATGTGTTGAGTGAGTCGCAGTCGAGCAGAGTCTCTGGTTGAATCTCTTGATTCCTGTATTTATCTATCTACCCACGAGGATAAAATGTGGCACAAGGCCGGTTTAAAGTGGGTATCTCCGAGCCCGTAGGCTCGGCCAAACATATGGCCTTTCTGAACCCGCCTAGACGGGTTCAAGGTCTGTCTACCACCCCGGACGAAACCCTGCCTCTCGGCAAAGCCTCGTCCGAGTCCCTCACTGCAAAATGCAGAGAGTTCGACTGAGAGTGAATCTCTTGATTCCACCCTCTCTTCCCGGTACCAACCATATTTATATGGTCGGTACTCCACTATGCAAATTAGGTGGATCCTACCACAACAGACATACTGCTAGATTATGGGATAATTCTTCAAAAAATGTTATACAATGAGCTTATTGGGTATCTATAGGCACACATTGTAGATCAATGTAAGCTTATCTCAAAGAATATTGCTATTACTCCACCGTTATATTTGTACATTATGGAAGGGAAGTGAGTAAGACTCGAAATGCACATGACCTTGCTGTCCATCCTCAGCAGAGTTCATTACACTCACTTATGTGCTAATACCGTTGGGAAATGTATGAATCCAACTCTTCTCCCCCCGATATGGTTAAATAGTAGAGCAGACTGGGTTATATATGCTTGGGTGGCAACCGCTCTCGGAGAAGGAAAACTCTGAATTCAAAACTGTATGTAGCCCTCAGTCAGTCAGTCATGTGCCATGTGTGGTACATTCTTAGGCGATCATGTATCTTTCGATACATGACTGATGAGAGACAGATTTTTTCCCGCAGTAGGTTGCCATTTCTTTCTGCGTTAGACCAGTTGCCATCCAAGGATATAGAACCTGGTCTGCCCTGCTATTTACCCATAGTTAGTGGGAGAAGAAGAGGATTCATACTTTTCCCAAGGGTATTAGCATATAAGTGAATGTAATAGATTCGACTGGAATTCGAACTTGTCTCTCTGATTCCTCAATTCGAACCGCTATCCATTACGCCACCGTGCCTCCTCCGTGCGGGGCTTTATGTTAACTGTGACCTTCAGTTAAATCTACCATCTTGGTTAGGTAAGTAAATAGCTTCCCACGACGGGGTGTTGGTTAGGTGAGGTGTTGTTTGACACATGCGCGATCCGAATATTTGGCATGAAAGCAAAGATAATCGGATCAAAGTTGTTACACATGGTGCACCGTAATGAAGACAGCGCCCCACGCGTCCCAACAGCGGGTCTCACCTATTTGTACTCTTGCTACATCTCTGTTATCTCTTATCGGTCGCCCAATCAACTGGGCGGCCATGACAGCACGAGTTGAAGCGATGCATTTAACAAGTTAAATTTCTATGTGCGACTACTTATATAATTAAAACTGTGTGCGTTTTATGATTTTCAGACACTTTCTAATGGTACCACGCACTGGAATCGTCTACCCAAGCTGATATTATTAAGAAGTTACCTCCAACGACTAATCGACTATGGTGAGATTCGAACCCAAGTCTCATTATCATAATGTTAACGTTCTAACCACTCGGCTATGCGCCCATACACTATACTATGTAAACAATAAATGTACTGGATATTTTGCTTGATTTTCTGAGATGGGGAACTGCATTAAACTCCGTGATGGGAAACTGAATTGAGGAACTGACATCATTTCACGCTGAAATGCAGAAAGTGTCATTGTTATGCAGAAATGTAGAGCTGTCATTATGACATTCTGAGTAAGGCGAACTGTTAACATTGCATGCTAAGGCGAGGAAGTATTAATCATCATTACATGCCAAGGTAGGGAAATGTCATTGTTCCACAGAAATGTTGAACTGTGATTATTACATGTTAAAGAAGGGGAAATGTTATCATTGCATGCTAAGGTGGGGAAGTGTTATTGTTACATGCCAAAGTCAGGAAGAGTCATTGTTAAACAGAAATGTAGAGCTGTCATTAATATATTCTGAGGTGGAGCATCTGTCATCATTGCATGTAGAAGTGGGGGAGAGCACATACACTTGCATAGTCAGTAGTTGAACAAGGCAAGTAGGCTCAAATCCTCAGTCACCTCGGCCACGATGATTTATGACATTGTGCTAGATCAGTCACAGACGGCTCCCAAGCAGTTTCGTCAAACGAGTTTCATTTCCAAGGCTTGTATCAACTCGTGTCATGGTTTTCGGCCATTTCTCTGCACGCTGGGATCTTCTCTACAGGCTGATATTATCAAGACGTCACCTTCTTGGATTAATCGATCATGGCGAGATTCGAATCTTGGCCTTAAACCTTGTAAGATACGAAACCTGAACCCGAGGCTTGTGAGTGAAATTAAGTATCCGAAACAGCTCAAAAGCCGTTGATAGTTGCGCTAGCACGAAGTAACAAGTCATCACCTTAAGGGTAGATAGAAGCTTTTAGCCTTGGTTGGCAATCTGTGGAAAGGTGGTGTCACGATAGAGTCACTCAGCCCCAGCAATCTGGACAATCGAGGGGATTATATATATATATATATATATATATATATATATATATGTATGTATGTGTGTGTGTGTATGTGTGTGTGCTAAGAATAAATATGCAAAATTTTATGTATGTAGCAACCATCAGGTATAAATTTATATTTATATTTATTTATAAATTTATATAGATATACACATATATAAATTATAAATTTATTTATAAATTCAAATATATATATATATATATATATATATATATATATATATATATATATAGATAGATAGATAGATAGATAGATACATTTATAATTAATATAAATACGTGCATGACATGAAACTCAGTAAATTTATTCATCATATATATATTTTTATATGTTCATGTTTCTTAGAGATTGTTAGTGTCAAAAATCAGTGCTTGTCCGTCTGTTTCTATCTATCTATCTATCTATCTATCTATGTTTTTTCTTTCTTTTTTTGGCAATCAGTTCACGTCTGTCTATTCAAATCAGTGTAACCAGCCTCTCCCTATGTATCTGTCACGCTATCTATTCCACGAAATCATGCCCGCATCGTTAATGAAAGAACATGTACATACATATACACGTTAATTATATTTTCTTTATCAATTCCATATGCATTTGTGTATGAATGCGTGCACATGTATGTTTTAATAACTGACGTAATAAGATTGGTAATTAAGTTTCTAAGATTAAGGTGACACTTAATCTTGCATTATGCTTGGGAAACAAATTAATTAAAAAAAGAGATGTTACGTAAACAGATCCGTATTACAACTTACTAATTCAACATTATTTGTAGACACTAATACGACTTAAAAGTCTGACTCCTGTTACAAACGTCAAAACGTGCCGCATACTGTTAATATAAATGTGTAATTCTAATATATATTTTTTTATAAATCATACTTATTATAAAACCCAGGTTGTGTGTGTGTGTGTGTGTCTGTTCGTTTATATATTGGATCGGATTTCCTACATTTTCAACCGATTTCAACAAAAACTTCTCAGGACTACGTAAAATTACCTTGGGTGGTTTTTTGACAGCGCCAAAAATTGGAAAAACACAATTGTGTTTTCAAATTGATTTTGTGCAAAAAGCACAAAATCAATTTGAAAACACGATTAAGAGGCATCGCGAGAATGGGGGACAACTTATATCGAGTTATACTTATTATAAAACCCAGGTTGTTTTTTTTTGTGTGTGTGTGTGTTCGTTTATATATGGGATCGAATTTCCTACATTTTTCAAACGATTTCAACAAAACTTCACTTTTTTTTGGCAGGTAGTGTTTCTTATTGTCTTGCACAATTTTTTTCTTTATTCTTACATTCAGAATGCTTTAAAAATTCTATTTACAAGACAATTGTTTATAATAAAATTCTATTCAATCGGTAGACTCATAACGATTGAAAACAATGTTTTTGTTTGAGTTTGGGTTTGACCGATTCGTAAAAAAAAAAAAATTAAGACATGCGTGCCTGTCAACCTTAAACAATAATCTTTGTCAAATTTATTTTTCAGTCTTTATGATGGTCGATACTTGATCTATCTCTTACTGTTACATCTCCGGGCAACGCCGGGCTCTACTGCTAGTTATCTATAGGTATAACGTATATAATACTGTTATTATCATATAATATAGGATGTGTGTGCGTTGTAATACATAGAGGTTGGGAATGAGAAGTCGGAGTGCCAAGTTCAGTTCCAGTCAAGTTCGTTACATTCACTTATGCGCAAAGGAAAGATATAAATCCACCTCTTCTACCACCATCTATGGGTTAAATACAGAACTTGGAACAAGCCGCTAATTTGTTAATCGTTGATTAACGAAGTTGACATTTTCGTTGGCGATTTGAGTTTTAAGTTGACTTTGAGAATCATCACAGGTGGGCACACTTAATCAAAAGTGTTAACTTCGTTAATCGTCAGTTCGATAACCAAAAAATGAACTTCGTTAACCATTGATCAGTTAGCTCTTTAAAAATGTAACGGAAGTTATCGATAAACCGTTAACGTTAAGTTCCGGGCCTGTTCCTGTTGAGGTCTATTGGCACCGGCAGTTTTAACTTCGACGATGTCAGCAGTTTCAAGTTCTTGGGATGCCATGATGACGTTCAAAGTTGGCTTCGGGGTTGAATCGTTGGCGAAAATGTTAATTAAAGCGATTAACGAATTAACGGTTTTAGTGCCAAGTTTTGGTTAAATAGTAGAACTTGTATCTGAAAAAATCGTTTTTAAATCCTCAAAATCACTCTTCAAAAAAGAAAAGAATTATTCTTAAAATTAAAAATATTTTGGCTTTAAATAAACTACAAATGCTTGCGGGTATATAAAAAACAAATCAATAATATAATATTATGTAATTATAATATCATTATAATATAACATAATATATTATAATATAACATAATATATTATAATATAACATAATAGTACAACATAATATGTGTCTAATCCGTCTGACTGCATGATTATGCTGTTGTTTTGAAGAAGCGTTTCCACAAAACTGGAGAAAGTATCGCAAAAAGAAAACTTAAAACCTTGGGACGTTAAAACTTAACATTTTTCAACCTAAATGATGTGTCTTCTGTAAAAGTTTGGTTAAAGCGTGACTAAGAAAATATGGAAAAGCTTCCTAAATCATTGCTAGTGAAACCAATCTATGACACACACACACACATATACATATTTATAGAGGCACTGAGATCAACAGCGAGCGGCAACTGTTTCATGCTTGAACGCTGTCTTCAGGTCATGTGTGTCTTCTTTTCGCTGGACTATATATATATGCTGCTCAATGGTGCATTATAGCTAACAAGGTTATTCCAGAGGTTATTAAAGAGAAATAATTGTGCAACCGAGTGCATTTATTTGTAGTTATTTTATAGTGTTGCTTGTTAACTTTTACTCAATATTTACTATTGGTTATTTAACTGTTTGCCGTTGATTAGTTTTATTACATTTACTTGAGTTTATGTGTGCATTAGTAATTTATTCATTTGACTTAATAATATTGACCTCAGTGTCCACTTTTATATTCATATAAGCACTATCCCTATTATTGTGTATTTTCTCCCATAAATGTTGCATACCTTAAAACCATATTCTTATCAACTATCTCTTTCTCTCTCACTTTATATATATATATATATATATATATATATATATATATATATATATATATATATATATATATATAAAAGAGAGAGACATATATATGAAGAAACCAGAAATCCAGTATATTGTGACGGATGACTGGACTGAACTCAAACATAAATCATCTTGTAATGAGAAAAACATTCCTTTGTGGGCGCGACCTATTAATTTTTTATGAATATATATATATATATATATATATATATACAGAGATATACAGAGAGAGAGAGAGACAGAGACAGAGAGAGAGAGAGAGAGAGAGAGAGAGACACACACACACACACACACACACACACACAGTGAAAGATACGTCAATAGATCCGTAACCAAATGATGAAAATTCAATTTTTTCACAGCAAATATTTTCTTTTTTTAGTATAATCTATTTCCACGTCGGTAGTATTAAAATTTTATTAATCACATGCATTAAACAATTCAGTGGGAAAATCAGATCAACTAATAAATACCTGACAGGCAACTTATTGATTTTGATCCACCCTTTCTTTCTTTCTCTCTCTCTCTCTCTCTCTCTCACACACACACACACGTCTGTATCGCTATATATTGTATATTTGAGCAGCAACCTTTCTTTGATGCATGTTTCATTGAATGTGACAGAAAACAATTCTAGCCAAGTGTCAAACTTACTTTATATAAAAATAGCAGTAATGTGTTGTCGGCCTTTGAAAATGACAGCCCAACACGGAATCACGTCCAAACTCTTTCGTGCAGCCTAGCATTACTACAATTTCTCCGCAAGACACATTAGAATGCAAACATTGAAAAACGTATTAACAGCAAACCCTGCAAGACGGCTAATGAATAGGCTGAAAGCGCTTGACACAATAAACATTACGAATCTCTCAATCTCTTCCAAAAAAAAGAAAACTGCACGAATATTAGAAAAACTTTAAAAAAAAGCATTCATTGTATGTCACCTTCAATCAAAAAAAGGTACATATATATATATATATATATATATATATATATATATATATATATATATATATATATATATATATGCTCCCTCTTTCTCTTATATATATATATATATATATATATATATATATATATTAAAGACGAGTAACAAGGTACTACGATTAAGCTTTTATTAAAATGTTCTTGCATTTGCACAAGTATTTTCTTTTCTGGACTGAAATTGTGTAAAAACTGTCTAAATCTTCTCCATATCTGAGATATTTCGGCTATTCTATTAGTTTTTATCATATCAAGGATTTGATATGTATATTTTTCTCGATAGTGATGCTAATGTTTCTATTTTCCAAACAGGGTCCACACGTTGTGGTGGTGTTCATAGTTGATGTTACTGAGTGTTGGCTTTTTTTAAAAAATTATTACTATTAATTCCATTTATTTTTAGTATATTTTTACATATGGATAACACTATTATGGTCGTATTTCCCACAAGTATCTATCTATCTATCTAGCTAGCTAGCTAGCTAGCTAGCTATCATTTTCAGAGCCACTTGACATAGTTGCAAAATTTGCTCAGTTGGATGAAGTCGAAGGTCGAGATAAAAGTGAAAGCCAGTATTTAAAATACCGATTCTCCAGGAAGACGGGCAACCTGTATTTAGAATGTTGGCAGAACTTGACCTATGTCTGTTCTAGTCTGTCCATATCTATCTATCTATCTATCTATCTATCTATCTATCTATCTATCTATCTATCTATCTATCTCAGTCTATTCATGTCTATTCATATATATCAATCAATCTATTTATCTGAGTCTGTTCATATCTATCTATCTATCTATCTATCTATCTATCTATCTATCTATCTATCTATCTATCTCATTTGAGTGGCTAAATTACCGTACTAACGAATACTTGTCCTAATTTCATAATTGGCTTTAAAAATATCCCAATTTAATTTAGTTTCGTCGATTCAAAAAACAGTTTTTGTCAGTGGAAATAAATTGATTTTATCGATTTTCAAATCGATAAACGAAGCGAATTTAAGTATTTTCCATTTTAATTGTGTATTGTGTCTAATCTATATCAGTTTTCCTATATCTCCTGCTAAATTTTCTGTTGTGCCATTGTCTTATTATTTCTCTTGAAACGCTTGATACGCCACCATCTTTGTTTACATTTTAAACTATTAATATTATTTGTAATAAGGCAGGAAATTCTTAGAGATATTTTATTCATAATAACAGCGTTCCATGGATGTTTTCAATAAGTAGTCTTAGATTCATTTGACAAACATAATCTGAAATATGAACAGCTGTTTTGATTCTGGTAGTAAATAGGAAACAACACGTATTAGAATAAATATTTTTACTTGTACCTCTTCCCTACAATATCGTTTCTTGCACCTCTTCGAGTTTTTCGACTTCTCTTGCAGTTCAATAAACCCTTTCTAAATGTTATGCTGTCGGATTACACTACGTCAGTAACTAAAAGATTCCAACAGATTTATTATATATGGCAAGAATTACCCGGCATGCCCTAGATATTTATAACGAGAAGAAAATGACAATTGGACTAATATAACATTGAATGCTACAAAGTAAATATATATATATATATATATATATATATATATATATATATATATATATATATATGTATATATATTCTTTGATTGTAGAATTTCGATAAGATTCACTTTATTGACATTTAGAAACTTGTAGATTAGATCATGTCCTTCAGAATTCTAATTCTTTAGTTTAGTCATGTGATCATTTTTCATTTTTGCAGACGATATGTGAACGCAATTTTGTTTTTAATTTTATTGGGCATAGAAGACGTTTAAACAAAATAAAAGTTACATAAGATAAGAAATACACATAGAAATCGAACAGAAGTAGAGAAATGAAACAAAATGGATATATGCTTTCTTAAGGACAACGCGTTTCGACTTCGTTTTTGTTCTTTCATTTCAACTTGAATCTGTTAAGAGTGTAGTGATCGAGGAAGCATACTCTTCGGAGTCTGTTCCACAAAGCAGCTGTTCATGGGAAAAAGCAGTGGAATATATATATATATATATATATATATATATATATATATATTTATATTTGGTTGATTGATGTGAGTTTGTGACCCTGGGTTTCACGTTTTTTGCGATCATCAGACAAACATATTTGTCTGACGATCGCTAAAGCGTGAAACCCAGGGTCACAAACTCACATCAATCCAACCAAATATGTTAGCTCTATCTCTGATATTGAGTGCTTTCTAATAAGTACCATATAATATATAAATAATTATATATATATATATATATATTTTATTTATATTTATATACACACACTTTTCAAACATATATATATATATATATATATATAAACACGCGGGCACACACACACGAACACACACACATATACACACACGAACACACACACACATATATATATATATCAGCTACATGCTGATATAATAGTTTTGATTTTATAAAGAAAAGAAAAATGGAAATCTCGCAATTTCAATGTGCCTGTTGCACTTCCAGGTTAAAAACACATGTGTACGCCAAACCTCAGCTCAATTCCTTCAGTACTTGTTGTTGTCTGTGGGGTCTGGAGAATGTGCGGATGACGTAACAGTAACGCCATATTGAAGGAAAAGAAAGAGACAGCGAAAAACAACGCACGCATAAGCTACCTAACGAGCTTTTGTTAGTTAGAACCGGGTTTGGGAGAGATAGCAAAATGACAAACTTTACTAAGAGGACATGAAATTGTGGAGAGTCATGATCGCCAACTTTCTGAACGGAGACGGCACATAGAAGAAGAAGAAGAAGAAGAAGAAGAAGAAGAAGAAGAAGAAGAAGAAGATGTAATCGAAACCGAGGAACACCAACACCACGAGACGCCAAAGATAACTGTATTGGTACAGAAAAAAAAAAGAGAAATCAATCCGAATTATCTGATCAATACCGCCGCTTCTTCCGCCGTCGTCGGAAGCAAACACCTCCACATAGAATTAGTTCCACTTCATTGGGTGGATTTGTAACACTTTCTCAAGGTCTAAGCGTCGTGTGACTCGCTCAAAAATACAGTTGAGCTGAGTTGTGCCCGTCTAATAACAAAAATAATTCCGATCATTCACGTAGTGCATAAATCAGCCGATACTCGTTTTAAACATTTATTATTGTTGCTGTTCATCAAATCTTAAGTCTGCTGTGTGCGCTAAACCCGAACATGGTCTATCCCTTGGTCGAAATAGTTACGTAAATTCCACCGTGACAAGGGGTCGCTGAATCGAGCCAACGTAAAATCTCCTATTTCGAATGTCAATTTTTAAGAGAGATACGCAAGTTGGTCTTGTAGCACACTCTTCTTTACTTTATTTGATTGCTTTCTTTAAAAGGAGATTGGTGTGTTGTGATCTCTCTCCTATCCGAAATAGCGTTTTTTTAAAAAGATTTTTTAAGGCAGGTCCATCCCACTTTGGAGATTAATGCGAGACTATCTTCCTACCGTACAGAGACTTTATTAGTACATTTTATGTTTTTATTATTATTTCTGATCGTAATGGTTAACGAACCGAAGAATAGAATAGGCGAACAGATTTCAAATTCTTCCTGTTCACTTTGCATTAATACTCCCATATGCTAATAGTAAACAGCTAGGCAATTGGGGCCCGCTAGATTAGTAAAGACAGTCGATTTGGCAAAAGTTCAGTCCAGTAATTGTTTCTTGTTTTTCGTATCATATAACCCAGTACGATCAAGGACATGTTACCTCGGGAGGAATTAAGAACCGCTCTGTAACTCCCTATTACTCTGAGAGATAATCTCGAAAAAGGAAATATTCTTACTTGGCATGGCACCTCGTCGATTTAAGATGAGAGGAAGTGTTTTAATACTCCTTTTGTACATTTAGAGATTCTTGATAAAATCCAAAGAAGAATCAGCAATATTATTGGTCCTGACCTGGCGTCTCGGCTTCAGTCACTTTCCTAACACCGCAATGCTAATTTATGGTAATTGTTCGGGTGAACTCTTCGCTAAGGTACCTAGACTTTATGATTTTAAGCGCAGTACTAGATTAGTAACCAGGTCTCATCAATTCACACTTTAGTTGGCTAGATGCAACCGTAAGTTCTATGCTAACAGTTTCTTTTTTCGCATTTCTTGCTTGTGGAACTCTCTTCCGGCTTGGTGCTTTCCAGACAACTTTGATCTTCAAAAATTTAAATGCAATGCCAATCGCTATCTTCTGTCTTCCTGATTACTCTTCAATTGTTCTCGCTCCCTGATAATGTTTCTCTTTTTTTCTTATTCTTTCACACTCAGTAAACTCTTTTATCGTAGAGGCTTTACTGGCTTGCATGGGGTGATATGATTTTAAAAAATACGCACTCGACAATCATGCATTTTTAATGGTTTGCTGCTCGTTTCCGAGTATGTCTATTAGGGTGGCTACTTAATCCCTATTGCAAATGTCTGCTTAGGTACATCTGTATTTCTTCAACAACGACATAGCCTATATAGGGACATTAGTTACAGTTTCTGGGAGCGCAGTTGAAAAAGGATAGCTCAGGTCGATTCCTTACAACTTTTTCTTTCGTTTTTCGCATTCTCTATCGATGATCTTTTCAGCATTCATCGGTAGAACCACATCTCTGTCGCTTCAAGTCCTCATGACCTGTAAGTTATCCAGAACTTACCGCCAAAGGGGAGGTTAGATATTGCAAAACTATTTTCATTGTCTCTAACGACATTTTACGATCTCTTAATACTTTGCTTATTTTCTGAAAAGCATCTTTCGTTATTCCTATACGCTTTCTGATTTCCTTTTGTTTCCCAATTTCCCTCGTCTACTAAACATTACCAAAATATTTAAATTCCCTGCACCTGCTTAGTTTTGACTTCCCCGGTACGTAACTCACAACTTGAACGTTCCCTTTTGCTTGCAACCATGCCTTATTTTTTTTCTTTATAGTTCTTTATCCTTGTTTTCATAGACTCTCTTGTATAACAGTTTTTTTTTTTTAGTTTTCCTTGTGCTTGTCATTAACACAGTGTCATCCACGTATCGTGTGTTGTTAGGTCCGTCGTTACTAATGAATCATGGTAGTTAATTTTTGTGATGTACGGTGGCCGTTAATAATTAAGTATAACTCAAGTCTTCAATGGATAAATAAGACAGTATTTAATTACAACCGAAAATAAATACTAAACAAGAACAAAGAAGTATAAGTCAACCAAAGATAATTAACCATTTCAGTGACTACCTTGTTAGTAGCGTGGCTCGGCTTAACGTCCGGTAAATTCTAAATCAAAGCCCAAATCATCGACGCATAATAATTCACACTAATTCGACTGGATAGTTCCACTCAATAGTCACTAAATTATCACTCAATAATCACTGCAATCAGTAGCTTGACACCGCTATTTATAAACCTGGCGGAAAACATATATTCATAAGTCGAGAGTGTCACGCTCGAACTTCGGTGTCGATAGTTACTTTCTTTCTATATGACAGTAATACAGTTTGAAAGGCCAAATTTCTACACATATACTACAATTTTGTGATGTTTTAAATAAAAGAATTAGTCTTGATTATATGAGCCAGTGAATAATTTTTTGTTTTTCATATAAAAATGTATTCATAATATTTTAGTGATTGGAAGTTCACATTTTGTTTGTTCTTACTTTCTAATGAATAACTAAAGTCTTTGATTAGGTCCCTTGCTCGGTTCGACATCACAGCTAGAACCCTTCGGCTTAATACTCTGTTGCCGACTGATCTCTGAGTCGACAGGAAGCACATGCAAAGTCAATTGATTTGGTGTTAACTTGCAGAAAGCCTAACAGACACGGTTAAGCTCTTCGGAAAGAGATTCTTTA